GTTCTGTTTTGGTGTGCTTGGTCGTCGGTGCTGATCACCTGTGGCTATTATTCCTCGATAATGTATGGAATGGGTCCCATTAGATCCCACATAATATCCTTTTCGCGCGTACGCATGGTGTGGCGCCTTTGTTGGATCCCAGGCCACACGGGGCCCCATGCTGCGCTCACTGCCATTGGTTGTGCTATATTTGCAAAAGGGGCATATGTGAGGCGTATTTACATGCGAATAAACGATAATAGTAATTATTCACATTATACGGCCGTTGTGCGGCTGCTTTGCTTTGTGTGCGCGGGGTGTGTAGAAGAGCCGAGAGGCCAATATGCGCCATGGTAATCCTTATGCACGTCGACTCTTTCTGAGGCGTTTTTCCCTTTTATAGGCATTAGATCCAATGGTTTTATGGGCTATAACATAATAGAGAGAGGCTATCGTACTTTAACTAGTTCTGTTGACTAATTTCAACCCTTAAGCACTGAGCCGAACCTTATTGTTTAGCTTCCGCCCACGAACAGTATTCTGGAAAGAGAAATACAATATGATTACGAAAAGAAAGACATGCCCCGTAAATTAAACAAGGTACCGCGAGTTTAACTATCTTTTAGCCAATAGATTAAGTTTTCTTTTCAGACTGAAAATGATACTAAAGATCTTACAGTTAACTATTTATCACCAGAATATCTTTCGATCTACTTTCTATTTGGGTTCCCGGTTGTCTATATTGTGAACCCGAATGGGGAAATACTAATCTTTTAGAATGTCGAGGAAACGTTTAGATAAAGTTGATGGTTTTGGCATGTTTGGAGTAATCTTTTACGATTATTGTATTATAGTCCTGGAATTTCTCGCATGAAATCTGACCAGTCTCTGATAGCCGATAACACTAAACCATTATTCATATTTCAAAAGAAAATGCTACACTTTGCTCTTGACGCAGCTTCGATTGGGTGCATATGTATAAATACTTACGTCCACCTAGCTAGGTGCAGTTCCTCCCTGGCGCAGTCGGCAGCGCGTTAGGCTGTTAACCTACAGGTCGTTGGTTCGAATCCAACGGGAGGAGTTTTTCTGACCCACAGTACGTGCCCATCACGTATTGCAACTCTCGCCGTCGTTTGAGGCAAGATGGTCGAGTGGTCTAAGACGTCACGTTCAGGTCGTGATCTCCCCTGGAGGCGTGGGTTCAAACCCCACTCTTGTCAACCTTTTCTGCGTTTAATTTAATGTGCACTGTCGACCCCAGACCTTCCGGTCCGTTGCTGCGGCGTCTGGGCATGTACCCAAAAGGCAAAATTGCTTTTAGACGCTCGAATATGGGTTAAGATCCAGACCAATCAGGCGTAGCAGCATCACAGAACTGCAACTCCTTTCATACGATTGACAAGTTAACAGCTTGCGGCACTGTCTCAAAATGGGAAGCAGCAAAAAATTGAGAATCCATTGGTCTTATCTCGTGCGTCTCCCTACCCTCCCGAGAGTGCCAGGGTTGTTAATTCTTTGAAGGGGTGAGAGGAACACTGTGGTTCTAGGCGTGTCTTGGATTTTGGTAAGGCTGTAATTTCTGACCGCTGCCGTGATGATTTCTTATAGCTATACCTGGATACGCTGCAATCCGGCCTATGACGCGCTTTCAAGCTGACGGCTCCCGTTTCCCCCAGAACATACCCCTTCAGGACAGCACTTGAGCGAGTCCTCCGTTGTGAATATTGGGGATCGCCTTTTCGAATCTGAGTCTGTATCAAATGCTTTTGCAAGCTGCTGGATGGTTTCACTCTTCTTGCCTCTAGTCAAGTCCGACTCCTTTAACACTGTTGTTGTAACGCAAATAGCTATTACGCTTCGTTAGGCAGCTTTTTCGCTTCAACGCACTCCTAGTTTTTTGCTCTTATATCGAATGAATCTCTGCATGCAAAAGGAAGAGGGGATGAAGAAATATCAGAAGCACATGCAAATAATAAAGCAGACGCTCATGAAGTCGTGTCGTATTAAACGCACGCACACATACATTTTTGGAATGCATCTTTTTATCTAGGGTTGTCTCTATTTCTCTGAAAGTTCACCGACGATTCCTTAAAGTGACAGCAGGTATATGTCGTGTTATGGTTATGTGTTCCTATTATTTAGTTATTTAGTTTTTCTCCCCAAAGGCATGAATTTTCATTTCATTTCTTTTTAAAAAACACACCCTTCGAAGCCAAGACCATTTCTCTGTGCCCCCTTTTTTGGTCAGCTTTTTCCGTTACTCCTCGTCTTCATCGATTTCCATTAGTAATTGACGCCCACATGCTTCCGTCAATTTGTCCTCGTCTAACATTAGCTGCCCCTGTTGAGACCCGCGAAGGGTCTCCATCAGGAGCAGGTCCCCATCACCGCCGTTCGCATTAGCTCCAACCAAATACGGTGGGGGATGGTTAAACCACAACGGCTCCACATGATCGGAGGAAGTCACGACAAACATATCCCCCCCTCTGTCCCCGGTCATGTGGTCGGGGCTGCAGCTGGTCGTCTGAAACGGCGCGTTCGCGCGGGCGGCCACATTCACCGCGGAGGCGGTCTTGTCGTTGAGCATCTTGATCTCACCCCACCACCACAGACAGTTGTCAGACCACTCCCGTAGGGCGTCCTCCTCCTCGTCAACGGTGAGCTCGTACTTTTCGGGCGAGAGCCGCAGGTTGCGAAAGTCCTCCAACTTCGGGCATGGCCCGGGAACTATGACGTGCATGGCGATGTCGGTTTTCCCGAGGAGGGCCTGCAGGTGCCGGTACCAGCGCTCCATGATCGCCCGATACGCGCTCAGCCGGCGTTGCTTCTCCTCCACCTCGACCTGCTCCAGCCTGCGCGAGAAGGGCTGCTCGGGGGTGCCGTGGTGGTCCGAGCCGGCGTCCGGGCCGTGCTCTCCCCCCCCCTCCTCACGACTCGTCAGGTTCCGCGGTGAGACCGCGTGCCCGTTGCTCCCGCTCGAATCCGCCACGTCGGGGTCCGGCGAGGCGTTTTGCGTCCAAATCGTGGCGTGGAGTTCGATCGGGAGGGGCCGTGGGAGCATTCGCGGGCGGTACGGCGTCGCCCGGACGCGGCGGATGTCGTGCAGCTCCTCCAAGGAGGTACCGGAGAGGCCGAAGTACGCCCCGTGGGGGCGCCGCCCGGGCGCCATCTCCATCGTCGGCGTCCCCACGAGCGGGGGGGAGACGCCGTAGGGCATCCCCATCTCCCCCATCGCCTGCGAGGCCGGCAGCGTCGGGTAGGCGAACTCGCCAACCGCCGTGGATCCCCCGGTGGAGGCCGGATCGATGAGCGGCGCCGCGGTGGTGCTCGACTGGGCGATGAAAAACGGCCGGGCGGCGGGGTTCAGCCCGGAGGTTCGGCTCTTGTCGACGCCGTCGCCGTTGCTGGCGGCGATGGGGATTGTGGGGTTGGGTTTGATCGGCGCCGGCATCGCGAACGCGCGCGGCCCGGCATTCCACCGCAAATCCGCCCGGCTCGCCATCGCGGGACTGCCGCCCCGTCGGTTATGCGCCCTCGACGTGGTCGCCCCCAAGCACTCCGTCACGAAGACGCTCATACGTCGGACGTCTTCGTTCTCCTCCTCTTCTTCTCGTGTTTTCCTTCCCCCCCCCCTTTCCTTCAGACTTTTCGTGGTCTCGAGTGTGCAAACCTCTTATAACGTCGAGACAGGCCCAAATGGATCCGCGCCGTCTCGAAAACGCGCTTCCCGTTACCCGCTTGGAGAGGGGTTAAAATGAAAGATAAACTCAGCGAATGCACCTCTTGCGACCCTTTTGAGCTATGGCTTGGTCCAACCAGTGTCGTGTGTGCGGGGTGTGGGGGTATCCTTTCCTAAATCCCCAAAGATTTACTGGTGGTGTCCAATTTAAGGGAAAGAGACACCAAATAGACTGACAAGGTGGTGCGATAATAAAAAGACAGGCACTGGGTGGAAAAATGTAACTCTAAAACGCGTTGTTCACTAAATGGTTATGTTCCCTATACCGGTGTTCCACACACACACACACACTTAAGAATATGGGGAGTCAACTCCTTCCAAAAGAAGGCCTTCCTTTGCTTGTGAAAATATGTTTAGACAAATGATTATGTTAAAAAAGTGTTTCCTCCTTTCCTGCGTCTTGATATTGGAATGTGTCGAGCGTTGTGATGCGAGGGAATAGGAAAGCAAAGCAGCTTAAAACAAAATAGCAGCAAAAAAAAATATTTAGAAGAGGTGCAACTCTTATAGAGAGGATACAGATGTGTGTTCTTCTCCGTAAGACAAGCTATTTAGCTGGAGTATCACCTAAGTGTAAAAGTCAAGCGATGTAAATAAAGATATATAGGAAGTACGCTGGTAAAAAGCAAAACAAAGGCAAGGAGCCATATACCAAATCCGCAGGAGCTTTCTGTTGATCTTCCTGAGAAATAACAACAGAGCGGTAGCCTGGGCTGCACGTGGGAATGCTTTGATAATTAATTCGATATATCTAATGTTCATGCACGGTAAAGTAGTTCATTGCACAAGCTCGAGTTGTATTGTCAAGAGTGTTAAACAAAAGAGTATGAATGGCGTTTCTGATAATGGGTTTCAAGTACCTCCCCTGTCAGATGTTGATCACTTTATTCAACCCTTTGAATCCACGCCAAGAAAAAGCTCACACACGCATTGTAAGGAGCATTAATCGTTTTTAAAAAATTATCAATACCATAATACAAAATCGATAACCCTTCACAAAACACGCCTACGTGGTGACCGGGATTCCAGCGGCATCCAGGCCGGAAGTAACGCCAGAAACGGACCCCTTCGTTTCACTCAGTCTCCCCCGTCTCCTCCAAAACCCAAGGGAACAGGATCCGCTTCTGATTTGTCGATCCCCCAAGGCTCCGAGGAAAAGGTGGAGACTGCGGCAAGCAGGTGGTCTTTTTTGAAATTATTGGTCATCCATTTCTATATTTCTGGATAGGTATGCGAACGTTGAATAAAGGACAGAAAAATAGATTGAGGAAATATTTTGGCATTCCTACATTAAAGATGCATATAGCGGGATACTTTTGTTCTTTCCAAAGTCTTTTCCTCTGCACGTTGCAAATAAATGCTTGTTATTATTATTATTATTGATCAGGATTAGATCCGGTGGGGGATTTAATACCGAATTAAACAGAAAAGGGAAAAAGAAACAACAACAAAAAAGAAAACTACGCAACAGCAAAGGAAATCAGAGAGAGGGGGCTGACTGCGAAGCAAAGATGTCAATGGGTCGTCACCTGGCCTAGCGCGATGATGATTATGAGCCCCACATCATAAACAGAGCGATGGAAGACAACATCATAACGGGGTTAGGTTTTTTTTTCCAGAAAACAAAAACACCAGGCATACTCGAAGTCATCCAACGTAATTTCGTCAAACTAATTTGCACATTTTCTATATGGGGACTCACCCATTTCCTTTCGTTCGTCTTTACTTTGTAAAAGCCAATCGTCATGCACAACATTCAGTGGGAAAAGGATATAACGTGAGCTAAAGTAAGTATGCCTTCAAACAGAGGGCTCCGTATAATGCCAAATCAAGGCAGAAAAACTCAAAAAGAGACGAATAATAAAAAAATGAGTAGCGAAGCAGAATAAGGAAAGTAGAGAGCCCACATGAACGGAGA